TTATATGAGGCTGTCAAGAAACCATTCCTTGCAGAAGTGTCTGCACTGTATTTTCCAACTTCAGGTCTCGAGGGCAGGGATCTCCAGTGGTCCACTTCTGTCCTGTTGGGCACAACTCTGTCCACTGGGCCACTTTATGAGCCTGGGGGCAAGCGGATGGTTTGTCTGTCTGTGGCCAGCAGTCCTGTGGGACAGTCGAGTGCCAAGCGCTGTCACTGCAGCAAGGGTATTTCCCTCTGGTGGGCTGCAGGCATTTACTTATTCAGTCATTTGCCGAGTAGTTTTTGAAGACTTGGTACATGCCAAGCACTGTTCTCAGTGGTGGGAACATGCCAGTAAACAAAAAGACGAAAATCCCCATTGTCGTGGTGTGGATGTCCAGCCGTGGAGATAGTGAACAGTGAGCAGGGATGCTGAGTCTGGGGTAGCAGTTTCACATCTGCCTGGCACGTGATTGACAATCTGTGGCAAGCTTTGCTTTTCTGATTTAAGGAGATAAAGTAGTGCATTTTGCTTATTTGCTTTCGAAAAATGGTCCTTAGTTAAGGAGTCAAAATGATTATAGTAAGAAAGACAGTGCAGGAGAGCTCAGGTGCCCTGTGTTCTTTCCCGTCAGGCAGCGTTTAGCTCGGGCAGCTGCAGCCTCCTCGCACCCGTAGGCAGAAGGTAGGCTGGGGTGACCTTGAGAGTACCTTTTGGTTCTCCCAACATAAGACTAGCGATTTTAACGCTGCAGTTTTCTTTTTATTTTGCAGGTTTGTGTGGTTTATTGTCAGGAACTCAAGTGCTGGTGCCGGGCTGTTATTAAGTCGATCGTGTCTTCAGCTGACCATTACCTGGCAGGGTGTTTCCTTGTGGATTTTGCCAGATACATTCCAGTGAAATCCAAAAAGTACGTATGTACACATTTACTTTGCCTTCCGCTCTTTAAGGAGACAGGTGTCAGTGTTAAAGGAGAGTGTCCATTCTCCAGGTAAGGAGATAGAGGTCATAAACTGGGATATCTTTAGCTTCCAGAAGGGGAGACTTGCAGGTCCCATTTTACGAGCAGTGAATGTGAGAGCAGGTGGTCAGGATGAGGACTCAGCAAGGGGGCTCAGTCCTTCCGCCTTCCTGCCTGGAGGGTCAGGTGTGCTCTCAACCCTCAGTTTGTTCAGGTGATGGAATGGGTCCCCTAGGGAGACTTGGCTTCTCTGCCTCCTGGGAGCCCTCCTCGTCTCCACAGAAGGGACGGTCCGCTGGCACAGCCTCAGGACACGTACCCCCGGTTGTTCTGTTAGTGGAGTGAGGCGTGACTGTCGCAGAAGACAGGGGACGCTTCAGAGTGAGCCCTCACTGCTTCTAGAACCACATGTCACAGTTGACTGGAAACCACTGGTGTTTGTGATCATTTTTACATAGTTTCCTGTCCTAGAATAAAAGGATATCATTGTAACAAACAAGCAAGTAAACATGAGGACCTTTCTTCCGAAAGACCTGTGCCAGCTGCACAGATGCGTGTGCCCTGAGGGGCGAATCCGCGGCGGGAGGGACGGCTCGCACACCCGGAGCTTGCGTGTCTTTAAGACTAGCTTGTGATTCTGCACCTTTATTAACATAGTTGGTGTTTAAAATAACGTATTTAGCTGGTTGCGGAGATTTTCTTTTAATATTAGGAGTTTTAAGTTTAGTTTGTTTTGGGCAAGAGAATCATGTGATTCAGAGCCCAGGGAGACCTCGAGGGGCAGTCAGTCCGGTCACCTTTTCTCAACTGTCTGCGACCCGCCCCGCCCACCCAGGGCACCTGGGGGCCCATTGGTGTCGAAATCGTAAGTTCGGGTGCTCTGTTGTTTGCCTGAAGAAAAATGGAAATAAAAATGTTGAACGACTTACCTTATCAAATCTCAGTCCTCCAGCTCTTTTGTGCAGAGCTGACAAATCCTAGTTCTTAAAACATCTGCCTATTTACAGAAACTTCAAGGTAATTCTGGTTGTGTATTGGAACTGATGTTTAAAAATCTTAAATAGAATTTGCTTCCAGGTTTGTTTGTTTTTACCCAGTATTTCTCAGTCTGAGGAACCCCAGTAGACACTTTTTCTAATCTCTCCTTGCCCTGATGCCATGACATTTTAATGCTGAAGGTACACCGAATCTATTTTATGTACTATATGTGTATCTGTGCTTTCTGCATGAAAAAGTAAGATTTTTTTCTCAGCCCCCAAGAACCAGTTTTCACCTTCTTGGGCAAACATCTCCAAGCACTTTGCTGCTGTTGGTAGCTTTAATAGAAACAGAAGGAATTGGTTTTTGTTTATATTAAGTGTATTAATTATGTAGATGTACTTTAAAAAAATATGTTCTGTATAGTTTTTCTTTATCATGGGACTGTTTCTGTCTCACTGTTAAGCATCCGAGTTGCAGTAGCAGCTTTCATGCAGCTTCCCTACAGAGCAAAAAAATTCAGACTGTACTGCACAAAACCTGCCACGTTGCACATTGACGTCTGTGAAGACAGCTCTGAGATTGTGTAAGTACAGCCTCTGGCCTTTGCGGAATCGGTAGTAGAAGCCTTACATTAAGTGCATGATGTTTGCATGGAATCGGGTCCTCTTGAGAAGCACTAAGCGGTTTCAAAGGTCTCTTTGTCCTTCTGGAGGTGTCTTCTGAGTCTATGCCAAACCCAGCAGTGCAGCCCTGTCTCCAGGGGCTGCGTCGTGAGGGGTTCAGAGTGAGGCCCCAGCTCCATGCTGTTCAGCATTTAATGTACGTAAAAGAATTGGCGATTTTAACTTGAGTGTATGTTGAAGCTCGTTGCTTTGTGTACTCCCTTGTACTTTCAGTCTTCTTCACAGTTGACCGTCGTTGGCATGCCTGCTGTATGTGACCATTCCTCTCTTGGTAGCCAGCTAGATTGCTTCCAAACCATTTTGCACTGTACGTTCTCCTAAGAATGTAGATAAAATGTATAGACGTGAAGATGGATACATGATGCAGGCACAGACATACACAAGTATCACACAGTCACATGCGCACACGTCTATGCACACACGTCTGTCCCGCCTTTGGCCATACTGCCAGCGTTTATACAGGACGGGTCCCTGCACTGGGCACGGCTGTGTCAGGGGTATGGCTGTGATCTTTGCTGTTTGGAATGGGCACTACCTGAGGTCCTGGGGGCAGCCCCATCCTCCCCCATTACTCTACCTTCCCTCCTGTCCAGCACTGTGACATTGTGGGAGAAAAGCTGTAGGAAGCAGCACATTTCTGACTCAGCTTACGTGTCCTGGTGATGCTGCATTGTGTTCTCTGAACTTAGAAGCTGCCTCTCTCTTATGGGTGGTTTTGTGAGATCTGCAGAGACCCTCCCATCTCCTTCCCCCAAGCCCCCATCACCAACAGTTCCCTTGGAATGATGAATGCACCCTTCTCAGGGCTGCCTCGGGATTCACACTAATAAAATCCTAAGGCGTCTGGTCTCTGCCGAGGCCACTGGACTCCGCCAGGCCCCCTGCAGCTTCTGCCTCCTCCCCGTTCCTCTTTCGGAGCAGCCAGCTGTCCGGGTCTGGCTCTTCCTCAGAGGCAGCCCCCCTCTCTTTCTCATGCCCCCTCCCCAGCACCACCACAGTGCTCCTTGGGGGCCTTCCCAGCCTTGGGCACACCCAACCCTAGGATACCCTCAGTGTAGGCAAAGGAGGGCTTGCAGGAAGTGATCTTACTGGGTTTTGATCACCTTCTTTGACTTGTGGTGCCTTTGTGTTTGTACCTCATCTAGTGTCTGTCTCAATATGTATATTACAGTTTTGGACAGATTTCATTAAATTTCCCTCCAAAAGGGCTAACACTTTGGTAAAAAAACAAAAAAAAACTGATTAGATAATTCTTTGTGTAGCAAGTTGTTGGAATCATTTATTTGTTTATTGATACCTCCTTTTGAAAACTCTTTGTGATTCTCTTGAAGTAGTGTGGTTAGTATCTTTCTTGGTAAAAATTTAAAATAATTGGGCTAAGTACTTTATGTACATTACCTCATTTGATCTTTGAAACAACCCTTGGAGGATGGTGGTGGCATCTCTGATAAATAAAACCAGTGGTGAAACAAAACATACCATTCTAACCTTACTTTATTTTATTTTTGTTCCCTGCTTCCAAATACTGGTTTCTCGTGATCCTCCATTGCCTGTGGCTTTTCCTATGATTTTCTTTCCAAAGCATCGTATGGCTCTGACTCCAGTATGTGTGTTTGTGTGTGTGTGTGTGTGTGTGTGTGCGCGCGCGCACGCGTGCCACGCAACACCAAGCAATTCACGCAGTCTACCCTGAGAGAGCATCAGATCCCACAGGTTAAGGGCTCCATCCTACAAGAACCCCTCTGTACCCCGCCCAAATTCAGACGCCAGTCTCAAGTCTGGGTTGTCACTTGTGCTTCTGATGAGATGGCTGTAAATGAGAGGTTCCCTCCTTGGGTTTGATTAATTTACTAAGTGGCTCACAGAACTCAGAGAAACATTTTAGATTACCAGTTTATTATAAAGGTATAATTCAGAAACAGCCAGATGGGAGAGAAGCGTAGAGCATGATTTGGGGAATGGAGCTTCCTTCCCTCTACAGGTACGTCAGTCTCCCCACATCTCCATGTGTTCACTAGCGCAGAAACTCCCAACCCAGTCCTTTTTTGGTGTTTAAAGAGGCTTCATTATCTATCATGGTTGATTCAGCCTCCAGCCCCTCTCCCCTCCTAGGAGGTCAAGGGGATGGGACTGAAAGTTCTCACCCTCTAATGACAAAGTTAGTTCCCCTGGCAACCAGCCCCCATCGCTAAATTACTTACATGCTTTCTACTCGTCACCTCATTAACATAACAAAAGACACCTTAATCACTGTTGTCCCTGAGCTGTGTGTCAGAAACAGGGACAATGACCAAATACATACTTCTCATCACGGATCACAGTATCACACAGAGGGAAGGGCGAGGTGATGGGGAGAACTGGGACGCAGTGATGGGAGTCAGCAGAGTGAGGAATACCAGGAGACCAGTGGCTGGGTTTCCCTCGGCCACGCCTAGAAAGCTGGTTTAACCAACATGTGTGGAGCCCTCACTCCGGGCCCGCCTGTGCTCAGCCCTGCACACACAGGATCACTGTCCCGAGAGCTGGTGTGGTTGGGAGACCAACGTCACAGGCAGTGGGGTGATGGTGTTGGGACACAGGATGCGTGGTGGAAGCCCCAGGGGAGGCCCGGTCCTCGGCGAGCCTCTGCCCTGGGTGGCGGTCATGGGAGGGCAGCCTGCTGCGGGGCGCAGCTGAGCCAGGCTCCGTGTCACCTGCGTCGTACGTTCATCGTGTAACAGAAACGTCCAGCATGTAATTTACAACATGACGTTAGCATACTGGCCTCAGCCAAAAAGTATAATAAAGTTGCATCTGTTCACTGTTCTAGACCCGCCAAGAAATGGGACAGTGCAGCTGTCCAGTACTTTCAGAACCTTCTGAAAGGTAAGGCAGGCGCGTGATCGCTGCAGCCACTTTGAACTAACGCCCAAGGTGGGTTCGCCTTCTGTGAGTCAGGGAGTTTGAGACATGCACGCTTAGCTGTTTGACCCCCTCGTGTGTGTTCATAAGTTGCCTGGCACTTCTTCCACCCCAAGTGTCACAGTGACTCTGCACCCTTGGAATTTTGAGAGTGAATAAACTTACGTGCATTTCATTGAACCAATAACTAAGGAAAGCCTAGTTAACAGTTTTTAAGCAAACAAGGGGTAGTAAATGGATGCTTGCTGTGTGATCACCATCGCTGCTAATTAAGCTGTGTAGAATGTCTTAGCACCTAATTAGTGTGCTCTTTTTAATTTTATATTGTTGACTGTAAAACGCTCTGATTTATGGCATCTGTCCTAACCCCTGGAGTCTGAGCCAGATAACTGTGCCGACCACTGGGGCTGTTTGAGGAGTGCTGCCTGACACCTGCTGGCCCCTCTCCTCTGCTGCCAGATGCATTGCACTTGGGAGAAGTGGGGGGTCGAGAGAGCCTCGGGTTTTGGAGTTTGGGGCCTGGGAGACTCAGGTTTGGGAGGCAGCGTGCCCCGGTTGCACTGCCTGCCCTGCCGCTCTGTGTAGCCTTCTCTGAGCCTGGCTCCTCACCTGTAAGGTGACACGGGCACTACCTCCAGGGTTGTGGTCAGAGTGCGGAGAAGTATGTCTGTAAAGGACCGGGCAGAGCGCCTGTTGATACCTGTATGTGGAGCTGCTCTTTGGGTGATTAAGTCCATGGGGCATTTGACCGGGTGGCATGGACTCTGGTGGGTCACTGGAAGAGAAGTGAGGGCCAGGAGATGGTGTCACAGGGTGGCAGGAGAGGAGGATGCTGTGGGGGGTCTGCCGCAGGTGGGGGGCCACGTGACTGACCGTGCCGGAGAGCCTTCACCCACGCCAGGCCCCTTTTGCGGGGGGAACGTTGTGGCGCTGGTAATCGAAAGTGCGTAGCAGAGATCAATGGGTGAGAAATGGTTGTAGTTGTTTCAAGTGTACTTTTTTTTATTGACGTATAGTCACTTTACATCAAGTGTACTTTTAACATCAGCTGATTTATGTTTTCATTTATGCTGTTCAGCAGCTACCCAGGTGGAAGCCAAATTGTGTGCTGTGAAAGAAGATACTTTTGAGGTTTACCTCTATGTAACTATAAAAAATGAAAAGGTAAATGAAAGAATTGTATTTTTAAAAATGTTTTACCATTATTACATATTTTTAAATAAAACAGTAAACACCAAGGGGAACAATGTCATTCACGTAGTAAAGAAATTTTCTTAATCTTTCAAGGTCTGGCTGAGATCAGAAGTTAGCCAGGACTGTTTTTCTTCTTTTAATTACTTAAAAAAATTCCTTTAGGATGTTATTTAGACAGTCTTTTATTTAGTAAAAAACAAGAAATTATTCCTATAGTGCTGAGTATAAAATGTTACTTTCTTATAAGAGGACGTAATTTTGAGTACACACGTTTGGTGTGGCTCTAGTTCCCTGCTTTTCCCCCCCATAAGTTTTTCATTGTAATACGAGCTCATTGTGAAGAATTCAGATAACGTAAGTAGAAAGAAAGTGGGCCTCACAGCCCTCCTCCACGACCCCACCCCAGTTATTGCCTGTTCACTGTTGGCTGGCTGCCCTTTATGAAGTGTGGCAAGAGGGTGTGGCTCTGTACCTTGTGTGGAGGTGGGTGGAGATGCAGATCCAGGCCTGCTTGGGGCCCACGGAGGGCATCTGAACCATGGATTTATTTTACAACTTTATTTTGGAGCAATTTACATTTATGAAAGAGATGCCAGAGTAGTACAGAGATTTTCACATGTGCTTTATCTGGGTTCCCCTAATGTTAACCATACAGACAAATAGTACAATGAAAAACCAGTAAAACCAGAAAATTAACACTGCTAAAATACTGTTTTAAAAAATCTACAGGTCTTATTTGAATTTTGCCACTTTTCTCACTAATTACCTCCCTTTGTTCTTGGATCTGATCCCAGATCCCACGTTGCGTCTGGTTGTCAGGTCTCCAATCTGTGACAGCTCCTGTCTTTCCTCATCTTTTAAGACCCTGACACTTCTGAAGAGTACCAGCCCGTCATTTGGTGGACTGCTGCTCAGTTTGGCCTTAGCTGATTAGCTTGAGGTGTTGAGCACTTCAGCAGGAACGCTCCGGGAGTGGTACTCTGCCCTTCTCACACATCATGGCTGGGGTTCCCCATGCTGATTCGTAGTCATGTTAAACCTCATCACCTGATTAAGCTGGTGTCTACTAGATTTGTTCCTCGGCAGAGTTACTGTTTCTTCATTTTTGAAATTATTAAGTATCATACAGGGAGATCCTTTGAGACTGTGCAGATGTGCATCAGTGATGCTCGTCTGCAAACATACTTCTGTGGTGTTGGCCTGTTTCTGTCATGCCTCCTACATTTTTAATTGGGATTCTATGAGGAAGAACTGACGCTTCTTCCTCGTTTATTGATTGATTGGTTTGGTAATTTATCTTCATATAGACTCGAATATTTATTTTACTCTGGGAGATATAATCCATTATTGTCATTATTTTCTTGCTCAGATTATTGCAGATTTGGATATTAGGAGCATCTTCAGAGTGGCTCGTGTGTCCTTTCAGTGTGCTCCGTCGTTGTTGAAAACTCCCTACTTTCTGATACCAGAAGATGCTCCAGGCTAATTTTGTCATTTTCCAGCCTCAGCCCTGGAGTCGGCTACTTCTCCAAGAACTGGTTCCTTTTATTGAAGAATGGTGTTCAGATACCAAGATCAGGGCCCTGGGTGTGCTCATTACTGCTGGGGTGTCATCGATTACAGGCCCTCCCAGCAGACAGACAGGAAATGCACGTGTGTACACTGCCCCGTGCACACACGTCTGCATGCGTGCCTAGATCTGTTCTTCTGTATGTACATTAAGAGCTCTGGTACCTCTAATTTCAGTCCAGGGCCACAGAGCTCATGCTAGCCCTCCTTTCTCCTCATTCTTAATACCTGTCTCTGACAGTAAGAAACCTGCGTTTACAGTATGCTTAAGTGATTAATCCTAATATTCATAGAGAGTAATTTCCGAATTGCTGACTCACATTCCTGTGAAAAAGAAATTTGTCTAGCCGTATTGCATCATGCAGCCCTAGATGCAAAGTTACGTAGGTTAGTTCTCTTCCCTACCCCGTTCGGTGTCATTATGTTGTTCATTTGTAATCGGGTTCGTTTGTTACCCTTTGTATTGCATTTCGGGATCCCCCACAACCTTGTGGATTTCCCCTATGACCTTTCATTGCTTATTTTACAACTTGGTAAAAATGCCAAAATGTTGGCTGTTGGACGCATCTCGTGAAACATCTTTTAAACAAGTTCTCTGCTGACCTGCTTCTTCCTGCTTTTCACAGGTCGGTCTGTCTCTGTGTACATGGCTGTCTGCAGATGACAACTTGCTCTTACTTCAAGGTGGTGAAGTACAGAAGGCATGCTTAGCAGAGAGAACTCATAGTGAATACATGAGGTCATAATTGCCAGGAGAAAAAAAAAATGGGGCCAAAAGTCCCAAAGGAAGCACAAGGATGTGTCCTAGGGTGTTTGCTTTTATTTTTTGCCTGTTTTTTTCCCTCAGAATTATTCTAAGTTGCACCCATGTTGCTCCTTTCATTGTCAGTAGTCTGGATATACTACAGTGTGTTTATTCACTTGTTGATGGCCATTTGAGTTGTAGCCATTGGGGCAGCTATGAATGCAACTGCTATGAATATTCATATACAAGTCTTCCTTTGGACTTGAGCTTTCATTTTT